CTCTCTGTGGATTTCAGGGCTTTAGGCTCTAAGGCTTCGGCTCAGGGAGTTTATTCGGATTGTAGGGCTTTGGGTTTCAGGATTTGTGGCCCTGTCAGGGGTGGTCTTTGGATGAGTCTTCGTAGTTCGGTCCCATAATTACGGGAATTGTGCGGTCACGCGTGTTCTTTTTTGCCTAGGAAGGCACTACTATGGTTAGGGTACCCGGTTACCACAAGGGCTTCAAGTGCCGTCCGTTTTGCATCCTTTACGGAGCCGGGTCCTTCTCGCATGCAAGCTTAGCCTGAAATTTTGTCTTGCATCCCGATATCCGAAATACCACAACCCCCCCCCCAAACCTTCAACCTAGAACCCTCATGCCGAATCCCGCGCAGTCAAATTTCCAAGCCCCAGAGGACTTCGAGGACGCAGACGAGGACGAGGTCTTTGCATGGGATCTTTTCAATGACCTCGTGACTACGGAGCCGGACGTGGTTCCAGAGGCCTTCTGCACACCACGAAGAAATGGGCACCGATGTGTATATATATATATATATACACACACATAAGGGTACATACCACACACACACATACATACATCCATGCATGCATCTCCCCAGAAATGGTGATGATCGAGTCTCCTCATGTATGACAGCTTCTCAGACTGATCCAGCTGCCCGTCCTGCCCTCGGCCAATGTACTCGGATTCCCCCGACATGGATACATGCATGCATGCATCCATGCATCGGTACATCCATACATGCATACCTGCGTACATGCATACATGCACAGACGTGACAGACAGGCCGACGGACGGACAGACGGACGCAGACACATGCACAGAGACGGACAAGCAGGCAGACACAGGCAGACATAGACACAAACAGACATGCACATGCAGACAGGGACAGCAAGACAGACAGAGACGGAGGCAGGGGGGAGTCAGGCAGCCGGGCAAGGCAGACAGGCAGGCATGCAGACATACATACAGTAGAAGCCCAAAAGTTGGAAACCCCATAGCACTATTTGGCCTAAATCCGGTTTCCAACTTTATGGGGTTTACTGTAGATACATTACATGCGCATGAAGCTATAGATCCATGCATGCACCTATCCGTCCATCCATCCATCCATCCATCCATCCATCCATCCATCCATCCATCCATCCATCCACCGACGCACCCACCCATCCAGCCATCCAGCCATCCGGCCATCCATCCATCCGTCCATCCATTATCCGTCCGTCCATCCATCCATCCATCCATTCATCCATCCATCCTCTCATCCATTCCTCCATCCCTCCATCCTTCCGTCCCCGTCCCCGTCCCTCCATCCCTCCATCTCTCCATCCGTCCATCCATGTATGACTGCATGCATTCATACGCACATCCATCCTTCCTTTCATGCATGCATGCAGGCATGGATACATAGCATATACATATACATGCATGCAGAAGTCCATGTACGAATAGATGTCTTTGTATGGACATACGAATATAGAGAGCTGATATACACGATGGACCATTTTATATATGTGGATCCTTGTCACCTAGTCAGGACGACTCCTTAACATGCATTTCCTGCTATGCCAACACCGGAATTCAAGCTGTCTAAGCCCCTGGAGGACGACAGCGACGTCGAGAAGGCCAACGTCGCAAACCTCGTTGCTTTCGCCATCATAGTGGTAGAGTCGAGGATGAATCGTGGCCAGGAGGATAAGTTCAAAAGTGGCCAAGGGGGCGGTGAGACAGTGGATCAATCAAAGCGAAGCCGAGAGGGACTCGGACCTTTTTGGAGGTTCTCTCACGCATCTGAGCGAGGATTGGACGACCGCAACGAACATGCCTTCGATGCAGATTCCGACTTCTTGCTTTGGGGAGAGCGTGAGGGGATTCCACGCGCAAGGTTGGTCATCGTCAACGCCGCGGGCTCTTGTCGCGGGGAGATGAGTAGCGGGCCCTCAGGAAGTTCACGGCCCTTGTATTTGCAAGCCCTTGGGGAAAAGGGAACGAATCTGCACGATCATCTTCACATGGACTGCTCAAGGCATCCACGTGCTCTCAAGGTCTCAGAACCCCTACTGGAACCTCTCCTTGAGGCCAGAGGCTGTGACCTTATCCAAAGCCCACCAGCTGTGATTTGCTGGTGATCCCAGGAGCTCTACTAGCTCCAATTTATGTACAGCTCGCCGTTTGTCCTGCTTAAGGGCACGGATTGTACAGTAATCCGAAGAGAAACCCCGACAAAAAGGACGGCAAGCTATGCATGGCACTCAGAGCATCCACCCTACATGCCAAGGGCCATGAATGTAGTATTAATATAGTATTAAGGAGACTACAAGGCGATAACCATATTACACCACATAGTACTGCTACTATGATATCCTGCCCGAGCCCTTCAAGTCCTGTGCAGGACCTCTTTGCCGACCTCAGTTTCAAGAAGGAGTATGGCCTCGGGGCCGTAAACTCCATCAACTGGGCCCGCATCATGTTTCAAATCACGTGCCCCATCACGCTGGACTGAGGTTTGAGGTCGAATTTTCTGAGAGGGTTGCAAGACTGCTACTGGACATTCTCGACTGGGGTGCGATGTACATTGGTGTAGATAGAGTTTCCCTGCATTGCCCACCTTGCGACAAAACCCTCTTTTCTCGCCTTATGCTGCTACCGCTGGCATCATCCTCATCGTCATCGACCGGGTCATGGCATTCAGTGTCGTTTCGTCCGCTGTCGCCGTTGCCGTCGTCCTCGTCCTCGTCCGGTCGTGTCGTCGTTGCTTTAACCTGCATCGTCAGCTGTTGTACCCTAAGCCCTAAACCCTACACTCAACCCGATAAACCCAGACCTTCCAAAATCCCTTAATTAAGGAATATACCTTAATTCATAATAGGATCCCTAATTTTATTTAAGGTATATTCCTTAATTAAGGGATTTTGGAAGGTCTGGGAACCCCGAAGCGAGGTACTACTTCTACACCTACTACAAGCCCATGGCCCAGTTTGCCAGCTGACGACGGAAATGGGCCATCGTGACTTCTGAGGTGTTTGTGGGGCTGCCCACTGGTACTTTAGGGAGAATGGAGCAGGGGACATAGGGACTACGGTAGAAGCCAGAAAGTTGGAACATGAATATCCTCATGCGCCTAGTATAAACTATAAGAGATCCTAGCACTAATCATCCGAAATCCATGTTCCAACTTTCTGGCATCCACAGTACTATGAGGGGTTATAGAGGGACCATTATATATAGGGATCAGCTCTCAGAAAGCTGAGCTCAATGAAGTGCTCACAGGCAGATTTATTAGTGGGTTCTTTTCCGAGGTCGTTCCGGTGCTTCCTCCAGGTATGTGTCAACTACAATACCGCCAGAGAAGAAGTTAAAGCACAAGGAGAAAGACCTTGCTGATGTGAAGAAAGGAATTGATATCAACACCAAAGAGAATTTTTTTTGCAAATTATGGGACACCCAATTGCCACGTAGTTGCATCCCCGCCTGTGCCACACAGTTCGAGCAAGATCTTCGGAATTCATGGAAACTTGCTGCAGGGGCAAATCCTGAACCCCTAAACCCTTTAGGGATCTTCAGGGTTCGGGGTCAGACAGATACCATCACCACAAATACGGCAAAACTCAAAGCCTCAACCCTACTCCTACTCACAGAGCTCTTCGGTGTCCCTCATCCGAGAGTTCATCCCGAGGGAAAGTGCATCCTTTCGGTGGAGCCGACCTTCCTGATACTGGTACTTACTGTAGGTGCCTGAATCAATACCAATACTACTATTTTGGGGGTTCCTTGTTTGTTGCTTGTTATAATAAGTATCGTGTAATGGGGCCCCAAGCCCTATGCTAATTATTAAGGCCCCGATAGTACAAACCATGGGGTTTAGGAGGTTAGGGTTGATAAGGTCTACTTTTATCCTTCCCCGCAGCTTTGCTTCAGATCTTGGAGCGATCTCCGGAGCCTAAACTACTATGTTGTGTTATAGTATATGATGTTAAAAGATGCAATATAATTATATCCGGGTATATAAATATCGTATAAGTATAATCAGAGTACATGAAATTACATTATGTACTATTCTTGTAAACTACATGGTAATTCAAACCTCCCAGGCTCTTTCCCAACTGCGACGGCGAGATTAGCTTCAGCGTGCCCACGGGCAACTTTGGTGACATTTTAGCCGGGTCGGGAGCTCAGCGGCAGCGTCGAGGATCGGATGCCTCCGAGGTTTTGAGCGCTTAGCGTTTGAGGGTTCAGGGTCTAGGATTTAGGATTTAGAGTTTGGGTTTTAGGGGTTTGGGGATTCGCAACTCAGCCCGAAACCTATGAGACACTAAAACCGTCGGCCCTGAATCCTATACCCTGAACATGCCTGAACCCTAAACCCTAAACCCTAACCAACCCTAAACCGTTTCTTGGGGAGTCTCAATTTTCGGAGCGTATCGTCCTAGAAACTCTGTTTAGGAGTCTAATCTCCGGGTGCAGGGTGTGGGGTTTAGGGTTCTAGTCTCCGGGGTGTAGGGGTGCAGGGTTCAGGGTTTAGTTTAGGATTTTTTCCGGGGTTTAGGGTTTAGGGTTCCAATCCCGAGGGTTTTGGGTTTTGCGTTTAGGGTTGATTTCTCCCCGGGCTGGGGGTGTCGGTCAAGGCCCTTACCTTATTGAATCCTTATACTGACCCTTATAGAAGCCTTTCTAGAAAACTTCTTAGAACCCTAAGCGCCGTTTAGGGTTTAGGCTTATTGCACTATTTTGAGGTACTACGCCCGACTTATGGGCCTGCCCGTGAAGCACCTCATCGTGGTCGGGAAGCTCAGCTTGTTCCTTAACACTTTGAATAGGGCTCCTTAAAAGAGTTTGCTCCAGGGCGACTACAAAGGTTTAAATGTATGACACAGGCGCATTAATAATTGGAATGCGGGTTGGGGTATGCTTTAGGATGATCATAGTAAGGAGCCCGGAGGAATAACAATATTTACATATATCCAGACCGGGCTCGTCTTGGTGCCTCTGGCCTTTTGGGGTACTCTAAATAATATTAGGTGCCGTATTATTTTAGGGAGACAAAAAGGGGCCTTAATTTTGACAACCACCCATATTGAGTGCAGAGGCTTCGTGCCTCGGGTTTTGGAGTTCTGCGGGATGAGGGGGTCTTTGTATTTGGTGTGTAAGGCCGTGTGGGGTTAGGGGTTTCGGTTTTAAAGGTTCAGAGGCTTTAGGATTCTTTTGAATAAACGTGTGCAGGGCTTGTGCCTGTTGCTCATCGAATCGTTTGGTTTCTGGCCCTCGGTTTGCTGTTTTTGCCTGGCTTCGTTCGGGGCTTAATGCAGCACCCTGATAAGTATACCCCTTTCGTTGCAGGGCCGCAATAGTAGAATCCCTGTTCCCACTAATCCTCATGACTGCAAATGGGTGTATGAAAGGGGCGATTGGGTTCATGCTGGGTTCATGGTTTCGGACTGAGGCGACCAACTCCAACGACATCCTTCACCGCTTTTTCACCAGCGGCAAATACGACAAGTCGGTACCTCAGTGCACTGGCGGCCCCACAGGAGAACAAGAGCCGACTATGATACTATGGACATAGACGTCCGCAGAGCCGCCGACAAGGACAAGTAACCCATATATGGGACGTTAAAGCCTAAACCCTCAACCCATATAGTTAATCCTTAATCCTAAACCCGTAGCATTGTAGAGATGACCGACCACCAGGTTGGATAGTACCGTGAGTTGAGGATGGAGGCCCAAGGAAGTTGCGACGCGGGCCATGTTTCTATGTTCAAAGCAGTTGAGGATTGCGTAAGGTTTAGGGGTCTGAGGTGTTGGGAAAGGCCACAGAAGATATGGGCAGCATACATGCCCATGGCATGGGGCCTTCTTTGTCATGGTTATTGGGTAACATGTTACATGTTTATGTGTACTCAACCCCAATAAAGGAATAAAGGTGTACATTTTCATCCTATCCCAACCATGAACTAACTAGGATTGGCTTTTGTTGGAGTCTCAACCATGCCCTCAACTTTCATAGGGATCCTTAGGGGTGTAGGGGGGAGGGGTGTAGGGGACTATATTTCCTTAAATAGGCCTTATTAGTCCTTATTATGGGCCTTAAGGCCCCCTTCCCCCCCTCCCCCATACACCCCTAAGGGTCCCTCTGAAACTTTCAGGGGCCTCAGCTGGACGCTTCGTAGCAGTCGTGTTTCAGGTTGGCCCCGAAACCTCATCGTCGAAGTGGAACCCTGAACTCTGAAGCGGGACCCTAAAGGGAACTCCAGAAAGTTGGAACATGGCTTCAGGGGTTTAGGGTTTAGGGTTTAGGGTTTCAGGGTAGGATACCTTATAATTTACCATAAAGGGTTTAGGATAATCATATTCCAACTTTCTGGCTTTTACTTTAAATCCTAAACCCGGGCTCGAGGTATCCAGTGAAGCAGACGATGTCTCCCTCCATGGACATCGGCATCAGCAGCAACTTCGAGAGGTCAGCCTGCAGCCCTCTAATATAGGGGCCCACATTCATTACCTATACTATTTTTGGGGGGGTCCTTATTATAAGTATAGTAGATAGGGCCCCAAGACCCTATTCCAGTTTTTCAGGCCCCTCGATTGCAGAGGGAGTCGTCAGGTCTAGAGAGCCTCAAAGCCTCAATGAGGGTGTAGGGGCTGTAAGTATACTGTGCTTATGATAAGGAACCCACAAAATATTTTTCACGCCCCTATAGTAGAGCCCTAAAGCCTCAGTTGGGTTTTAAACTTTAGGGTTTAGGGTCCAAGTTGCCGCGAGCATCATAGTTGGACACGCAGATGTCGCCCTGTTACCTCTGGAGCCGAAACCTCAGAGCCGACGTCTTTCGGACCCTAACCCTAAGCCCTAACTCCCCAAATCCCAAGAATCTTAGATCCCTAAGCCCGAAGATTGCCAGATACCTCTTCGACCTCTTTGGCAAAGATGCTCAGAAGCTTCAAAAGGCACGGTACCGGGGTTTTGGTTTCGGGCTCACGGCAGCGGTGAGGTGGCTGGTGTGTAAGTTTACACCTGCTTGGCAAGTTTCCTTTTCGTATATATGTATGTGTGTATGCACTATATATAAAGCGATAGTAAGCATACGTACATACCTACCGACGTACTACATGCTACATACACACATGGCCCTGCATGTCCATCAATGTGCATACGTGCGCATACATACTTACCTGCGTTTACAAACAGACCTGCTTGGGCCTGCCTACCATGTTCACCAGGTTGTTTTCAGCCCTTAGATATATCTCCCCCCCCCATATCACATGTTTAACTTCTACCTTTCTGCACGTAAATATTCGTTTCAGCATGCACTGGGGGTGGTCTTCTTTGTGGGGCTCAGGAAGGCTGTAGGTGGTATCCAGGCAGTATTACCAACACTGTACTATTGTGGGGTTTCCTTATTCCAACTCCTAGGTAGAGTATAATATACCCCCACAACACCTATTCAAGATATAATTACGACCTCTACGTGTTGAAGTATTGACATCAGCAAACCCATTTAAACGGTTGGGTTTGGGCATCTTGCTTCTCATGGCTAGGTTTATGTATCTTGGTTCTGATGGTGGGGTGTAGTGCAGGTTTGTGCCAATGGTTGGGTGTAAGGTATTTTGGGATCTCTGCCAGAGTTTAGGGGAAGCAGATGGGATCAAAGGACACTATAGTAAGTCGTTCCTTTTCTGCGCAGGATGCGTGATGCGAAGCAAGCTAACATCCCGCACCCACAGTTGCCTGAAGCCGTGGATTCACAAACCCATGTCGTCCCTCGCACCTGTTTGAATTTATGGGTTGTAGATATTCCGAAAGTTAGCAGTCGGTGTCCGACCAAAATCGTAACATCCTGAAGCGGAGACACTTAAACCAAGCCTGAGGCATGAGCCCTTGAGAGGGGATCGTTCGGCATTGCTTCGCTCAGGCAATGCTGGAATTCAAGTCTTGCGGCAAGCTTCATGTGGACGGAGAGGCCCGGCAGTGCGAAGTGAAGTGTTTAAGAGCATGTATGCTCGACGAATTCAAACTTGTATGCTTGCACAGTATGTTTTGTGCAAACCCCTGACACTCCTATGCATCCTGAGTGTTGTCACCACCATGCTGTGTTATTACTGTTTTTTTGCTATTGTCAGTATCAGTGCAACTGTTATCATCAGTAGGACTATTGGTTTTGAGCGCTGACCATTGACTAGTATTGGCAAGTATTGCTTGGCGCCCGACGGCTACGGATTATTGTTATCACTGTTATCACGATCATGCCCAAAATCAGTAGCATCCTCTGTTGTGGTTCATTCTTCAGTTGTTATCATCATGTCTGCAACAACCTCCTTCAAAAAGCGAAGCCCTAAACCCGTAAACCCCTAAACCTGTAGACCATAAACCCTTAAACCCCTAAACCCTCAACCCTAAACCGTGTATTTCGGAAGGGTTATTGTAGGATTATGCTGTGTCCAAACTGAGGCCCCAACATAGGCTCCACCTGGTAAGGTAATCCTACTGGTACATGCAGTCTGATAAGGGCCCGCAAAAAAAGTAGAATCCTGGCCCCAGGAACTTCAGAGGGCGCGGAAAGACTTCGTGTCTGCTTGCGCGACCGAGCAGCATCAGACAGACACGATCAGGCCGGGGCCAGTGCCTTTCCCCACTATAGGGTTTACGGTATAGTAGTATAGGGTTTAGGGTATAGGATTTAGTGTTTAGGGAGTATTGGTAGGGTTTAGGATTTGGTGGGTGTCGGGTTTAGAACTACTGGGCTTAGGAGTTCATGGTTTTCAGGTTTGGGGTTTCAGGGTTCAGGGTTCAAGGTTTGCGGGCCAGCTTCAGGCTTTCTGGCGTCGTATATGTGTAGCCTAGTCAAAATCTGGAATCTGGAATGCTAGCTAACTGGGGATCCAAAACCTACCGTTTTAAGGGTTCGACCCTCTAATTAAGGAGTCATATCCTACCATTTTGTAGGGTTTGGGGATACAGGTAGTGTTTCATGTCCTTGGGTTCAGGTTCGGGGTTGAATCCCCAACGAACGGCGAGTCCCAGTCGGAGGTGCATCGTGCATAAACGAGTTGTCAAGTTATCACGTGTACTTGCATGTGTATGTATGCATGTCTGTACGTATGTGTGCATGTATGTATGTATGTGTATATATATATATATGTGTGTGTGTGTGTATATGTGTATAGACATACATGTACATATTCGTGGTATTTGCTCATGTGTTTATTTGTTTGGATATTTACTTGCTTGATTCAGCTGCTTATCTGCTTATGTATGTACAGACGTTTCCATGTCTATGTCAGCAACATGTCTGTACATGTATCGCCTGTTGATTGGCCCGTGACGGCAGTCCAAAGTTTCTAGTCTACCCGTTGACTTTGCACCTTCCCGAAATCCGAAACCCCGAACCCCAGAACCCCAAACCCCAAACCGCGAGGCAGTACGAAACCAGCTTCGGCTACACCCTTTGCCCCCACACTGCCTGCGGCGTCTCCGCAGTCGTTGGGCGCCGAGTTGGAGTTTAGGCTTTAAGGGTTAGGGGCGCTAAGGGTTATGGGGGTTCACGGGTTGGGGGGTGTGGGAGTGTAGGACTTTACGGTTAGAGCCTGCAGCGTTTGTGGTCTTTGTTGGGCGAAACCTACGCTCTCAAAGCCTTCGGTACACGGATGTTCAAGCTTCTGTGGGTTTCGGGTCCACAAACCTGAACTGTTTTAGTATGCTTGCGCCAAAGGGTCCCGTTTGAGATTTCGAAATCCCCCCGGGCTACTGAATATCGACTGTGGGTCAGGATTGTTACAAGACTTGGTCACCAAAAACACGAGGTGTTGCTGTTGTCTTGGTTGCGTCAGGCTTGATAGTACTTCATCAAGTTTGTTCAGCGACCGGGTGGCCTGCGATGTAGAGCATTGCAGCGTGACCTTAAAGAGCGCGGATGACGAAGGGCACTTGCACCAATTTCCTTCTCCTGGTAGTCTCAATCCTGAGGCCCAAATTGCAAGGAAATCCAAAGCCCTGAATCCTCAACCTTCAACTAAGCCAGAAGCCTAGCCCTAAACCTTCAACCCAAAACTTTAAAAAAAACGATAAAAATGTATTAACAATACTAATTAGCAATATAGTTCAATATTATCATAACAGCAGTAATAATAGAGTTTGTACTAACGATAATTAACAAGATATTTCCATATTATCATAAAAGCAGTAATAAGAATACCCATCCCAGCCGGCACACTGCAATAGAGATCCTGAGGACCAGTTGCGGCAGAGCCTCAACTGGGCGTCTGCCAGGGCCCCAGTGGATGCTGCTCAATGCCGGTTTAGGCTTGTTTAGGAATATACTCAGAGGTTCACGGCTAGTTATAAGTGGGGTTGTAAGTAGGGTAACTATAATTATAACCCGAATACATTACTGCATACCAAGGTGCCGATCTGTATTAGTATGTTTGTCAAAGTTTGTCTTAGAAACTAGACAGGTGTATTCATCTATATATATATATAGTATATATTTATATATACATATATATATATATATAATTAGATGGATATAGTGCATGATGGCGGTTGCATGACTGCAAAGAGACTGATCTTAGTAGCAGAATCTGGCGCCGACGGGAACGATGATGGTGATGATTTCCTGTTGCTGCTCATGCTGGTGACGAGGACGTCGCCCCTCTAGACTCTAAACCCCTTAAACGTCAGGCCCTAAACCCCAACATTGTCGCGTTCGTTGCCACGAGAGGTGATTGCCCGGTGCCAGCATGGGGTTAAGGGTCTGCACGTATAGGGATTGCTGTAGAAGCTTGAACAGTTGCCAATATTATTCCTTGGGTTCTTGCATAGTATAGTACGCCACCGTCCATTCAACCATGTCTTGGCCAGGAAGCAACAAACTCTGCGAAAACCGTTCTGTGGTGGAAGTACGCAATGTTAAGGTGAAGTATGACTGAATACCCTGTAGTTCATGTTTGATAACAGAGCAGTTGCGGTAGATATTGGACGGAAGACATAAGTTAATCAATGCAGAGGCTACAAAGTGGCCGTTCATGAAACAGTTCAGTGTGCTGGATGTCGGCACTGAAGGGTGTGGGATCTCGAAAAGACCCCAAGCAAGCCTTTCGCAGCTTCAGAATTCATGCAAGCCTTACGCAGCTTCAGATGGAGAAGCATTTATTTGCAATCCGACAACAGCACCTATACAAAAAGTTGATAACGATAGTAAAACCAAAACTGCATGATATCAACAACATACACGAACACTAACAGTATTCCCCAAACACCAACACTGTTACTACCACTGCCACAATTGTCATAAATATTACTATTTAGTTTACTATTGCTACTACTGCTACTACTCCTGCTACTACTACTACTGCTGCTGCTGCTGCTGCTACTACTACTACTGCTACTACAGCTGCTACCAAGTACAACACAAAACAATAGTTCGTAATGTACGGAATGGTAATAGTAGCATTGCAAACTAATCACAAGAGCACGGTTCATAAACTACATCCGACTTAACTAAGCAATAACGATAATGATTCAGGTGCAAAACCACAAGATGGTTGTGCTGGCGACGGCACATCCTGGCAAGCCGTGGTCCGAGTCCGTCCCCAAACCCTCCTATGTAGTCACCCTAGTTATCAACCATAGCTCCAGTTTCCGGCTCATGATCCTCAAAACAGTCCCTGAACCGAAACTGGACGCTGAGGGTGAGATTTAGGCTTCCTTCGTCACGGCATCCGGGCTCCAAAGCAGACAATGGTTTAGGGCTTATGGTGCGGAATAGCTAGGCGCGTATGGCATGCAAACGGAATGGAGGGTTTTTCAATGTAAGTTACCCCGCGCCAGACTGCTTTTTTGGTTCTGAGCTATACTTATTTGCTCCAACTCCAACTTCCTAAGCAGCTCGTAACTTGCTCAACCTAGATTGGAGCCATCAGCCCCACACCGCAACATCAACAACCCTTGCTTGAAAGGATTTCTGTACAATTTGGCCGGCGGTAGCTCGCAACTTATATATATATATATATATATGCATATATAGATGTATATGTATGTACTGGTATGTGTATGTATACCTATCTGTCTAGCTATCCAGCTATCTATCTATCGACCTACATACGTATATACCCACGTAGAAAAGCATACTACAAATAGCCGTTGTTGATTCATCCGTGTCCCGCACTCTTTAATGGTTCATCGTTTTGCTGCATAGAGGTTTAGGGCTTGGGGTTCAGGATCGGTATAGTCCCTCTACATCGGCTGGGTTCCCGGTTGGGGTGTCACATTCTTGTCTCGTTTTCTCGTGTCCAGCAGGCAAGATTCCGTTGGGGGGGGGGGGTGCCAAGACAGATGCTCATGATTATCGTCGTGCGCCACCGATTCTTCTTCTTTTGACCAGCACAATCATTTCAATCATTCCGGCTGCCGTAGATTTTCAACCCTAAGCGGCCCTCAACCCGGAAGCCGAAGCTCTGTAAGCCATAAATGATGTTGGGCTCGGCATATCATCCCGTCAGCCCGCCTCTCCTGGGGTATTTCTGGAGCCTTGCGGAGGTTTGCTGATAGCGTGCACGCAGCTACTGGCACGTGCTCTCCTCAGCCAAGAATAGTACAGTGGCCTTTATAATTCGATCCCCACTCGTACCGCCCTTAGGGTTTGAGGGTTCAGGGTTTATCGGGTTATAGGGTTATAGGGTTTAGTTTAGGCTTCAGGGTTTAGGGTTGTTAGGGTTCAGGGTTAGCAGGGTTATAGGGTTTTAGGGTTCAGGGTTTATAGGGGTTATAGGGTTCAGGGTTTGTAGGGTGTTGGGTTTAGGGTTTCAACTCAAGTCTGAAACCCCCAAAACTCTCCGGAGAGCCCAACATACCCCCTTTACTACGGGAATCTACTCCCAAAGGCTCCATGTACCCATACAGTAGATACTTAGGCCTTAAAGTACCCATATAGGCACCCCTTTAAGGCCTAAGTACCTACTATACGGGCACATGGAGTCTTAGGGACTGTAAGTCAGATTGAGGCCCCTTGCCACTTAACGCGCCCCGGGATCCCAACTCGAAATCCGGCGCAGGGTCCAGAGCCGAAGGTTTAGGTTTATAGGGTTTAGATTTAGGGTTTAAGGTTCAGGGTTTAAGGTTTAGGGTGTAGGATTTAGGGTTTGGGGTTAGGCTTTAGATTTAGGGTTTTAAGTTTTAGGGTTTAGGGTTTAGGTTTAGGGTTTTAGGGTGTTTAGGGTTTAGGGTTTAGGTTTACAGTAGAAGCCCAAATGTTGGAAACCCCAATAGCTTCGATCCTCAAGATTGATGCATAGGGGATCCCAGCACTATTTGGCCTTAATCCGGTTTCCAACTTTATGGGGTTTACTGTAGGATCACAGGACGTGACGATCAATTAAGGTTGTCAGTACCTGAATTGGCGTTGTATGCAAGCAGATCTTTTTCTAGCTTGTTCATGACCCCGGTTACTACTTAGAGGATCATGGGACTTAGTAAGTAGGTTATAACTGGGGTTGTAAGTCCCCTAAGTGGGGTTATCCTAATTATAACCTACTTATAACCCTACTTACTAAGTCAATTGATCCTTTAAGTAAGTCAGTCCGCAAAGTACAGGGAGGCCCCCGAACCCAAGCCGCTGAAACCGTACAGCCTGAGAGCTCAATGGTAACCCCTAAGGTCATTAACTCAAGCCTTGAATCCGCAATCCCAAGTAAAGCCGAACACGAATTCATAAAGAAGCCTAAATACATGAAGGCAGCCCTTCCAGAGCTCTTGAAGGATCCACCCTGAAAGGCACCTTGAAAGGACCACCCCTGAAGCCGGCCTCAGCCAACCCCTATCTTCAACCCTAAACCTAAACACTAAACCCTACAAGCCCCAAACCCTTACACCTCAACGATAGTCCCCAATACCGAACCCGAAATTCCACTCGAGGCCGGTGAAACTTCCTCCAGCCTTGTCAGCTTTACAGTCCGCACCCACCCGGTTCCAGGCGTTGTGGGGTTTCAGGGTTATGGTACGGGTTCCTGATAAGGGTCCTGCAGGCTTTAGGGTTTGCAGGGCTTTAGGCTCCTTCGTGTTGAGGCTTCAAGTTCTTGGTTATGAGACTGGCTCGAGGGTTAGGGTCTAGCACTTGCAGCGTTTGCCCCGGATTCTTTACAGAGTCCCTCTACGGATTTTTGGACAGGTCATTGAGGCCTTGAGGATTTGGTCAGTCGAGATGCGGGGACGACGCGAAGAATTGATCGTTGGGTTTGAAGAAAAGAGCATCACCAGGCTCTTGGATGCAGGGCCGGGGCAGTTACCCGTACCCTGAGGCTCTAAGGACTCATATTTTCAGGCTTTTGGGCCTAGGCCTTATTATATACGGCTTTTGGACCATGTTGAGCCTTAGGGGTAGTCTACAGTCTACCAAAGGCCTGCACCTTCCCATGCAGTAATTAACTCTCCTTGCATTTCGGAGGTGCTTTGTAGAATCTGGGGTTGGATTTTGGCGCTCGTTGCAGCGCTTTGTACCTGGGGAAACGCCCAACTGCTCTGCCCTAGACCCGAAAACGTAGCACTGTTTTTGGCTACCCTAGCTTCTTTTTTTGGGGCCCCGAACAATGAGATTGGGTTTCCAACACAGGGCTGAACGGCTTCTAGTAAAGGGCTGAGCTGAGGGGTTCTGGTTGAAGGTTAGGGCATATGGGACTTTCCGAAAATAGGGGCTCCTCCTTACTGTAAGGACCCCAAAATAAGGTACCCCTAATTCTAGCAAACTCCCATATGGAGTGTAGCAGTTGGGGTTCCAGGGTAATGATCCAGGCCCCGAGCTTCTGGTGTAGCAGCGGTCCGAGGTTAGTCGTTTATACTTCATGGTGCCCTTTAGGGTTAAGGGTTTATAAGTAAACCCTGATAGGGAATTTTGATTCGCGAGCCCGAGCATTCGAAGGTCTTGGGCAACTCCGCCAAAGCCGTGCGCAATGCCATCGAGACTACGGTGAACGGACAGGTCCGGGACTTTAAGCGCAGTAACACTTAAAATGGTAATGGCCATAATAGGAAAATAATACAAATAGTAATAGTAATAATGGACAATGTCATCATCATCATCATCATTACCATCGTAGCAATAACAATCGTAATACACTGTTGGCCGTTGGTTCTTTTCGTAAGATGTTTCATAAGGACCCTTAGGGTGGTAGGGGGGGAGGGGGGTAGGGGACTATACCTCCCTAAATAGGCCTGTATCAGGTACTTATTATGGGCATTAAGGCCCCCTACCCCCCTCCCCTACACCCCCCTAAGGGTCCCTATGAATATTGTGGGACGAATCAGGGGATGGTCCTTGCTTCCGTCGAGACCCCAGAAGTCCAAGCTCTAGTGCTGCTAGGCCCCCCTCCCTAGGGTTCCTTTTAAAGGGGGTCTATAAGGGTTACTATAAAGGATCTATAAAGGTACCGTAATATAGAGGCTTAGACAACTACCTATGCTATTTTGGTGGTTCTTTCTGAAAGTTCTCGTAGAATGGGCCCCGAAACCGTATTCTGATTAGGGAGGCCTCTACATCATACCCGAACGACATGCAGTTCCTGTTATGGTGTCCGCATTCAAGTACGTCGACCCGGTTTCTACTTAGAGGATCATGGGACTTAGTAAGTAGGTTATAACTGGGGTTATAAGTCCCCTAAGTGGGGTTATCCTAATTATAACCTACTTATAACCCTACTTACTAAGTCCCATGATCCTTCAAGTAGACCCTAAACCCTAAACCCTCTAGATCCCTTTAAGGAACCCTTTAAGGATCCCTTTAAGGATCCCTTTTAAGGATTCCTAAACCTTACTTACTAAGTCCCATGATTCTTTAAGTACAAGCCCGATCTGTCATGTGGCAACTCCTGGGCTTCCCATGGCCGCTGGGTTCACAAGGAGTTCTCTGTCTCCTTTGGGGTTTAGGGTTTAGGGTTTTAGGGGTTTAGGGGTTTAGGGGTTTAGGGGTTTAGGGTTTAGGGTTTACATTCCTACTTGAATGGATGCTTTCCCATTTTGCAAGGGCCCACGTCCCCAACCCCTGAAGTCCTAAACCCGTCCCAGGTCAGTACCGGTGTATTGGCATCCTTTCTGCATCTGCTACGCAAGATGCTCCCCTGCTGCTAGCAGGCTGGATGTTGGGTTTCGGCATATTTGATGTTCCTTCATGTCATCCTTTTCAGTATCACCAAGATATTCGCCGCTTGCGACTCCGTACGTACGTCAGAGCTGCTTATTTCCATGGAGTGCTTTTGCAAAGCAGCCACGCAAAGTCTTGACATTTCAATTTAGCCAACCCGTCAGAAGCCCTCACGCTCGGGAAGAAATTCAGCTACCTGCTACTTGGAGTTACGTCTTATGACCCCGCCGTCCACACACCAACACTGGAAACACCCACCTCGGCCATTCTAGCCAGGCTTCTCGCATGTGACACACAAGACTGGCTTCCTCGGACGGCTGTCCCAAGAGGTCGAGACCAGGGCGGGTTGGGGGATTTGTGCCTGGGGTTAGACGCGACTACATGATCCGGTGGTGGTGTGGTGATTATGAGCGAGGTCCTTCTCGTAGTGGTATCAACATTGGGAGTTTCCGAAAATAAGGGTACCTTATTAGGGGGTCCTTGTGATAAGGATCCTACTATTGAGGTACTATATTAGGGTCCCCTATTTTCGGAATCTCCCATATGAATTGGGGTAAGGTTCATGAGACGGTGACAACAACCAGCGACTGAGTAATGCGGCTGCTGATGGTTGTGATCATGCTCAAGCAGGAAAACGATGATGAAATACAGGAGGCAGAGGACGAAGATGAGAAGAAAAGCTAACCCGTTGGCATAAGAAAGTACTGTACACTTAAGGAGAGTGCTAGTCGTCAACTGCCTCGAACAATCTCAGCACTACATCCCATCTGCTTGAAATGACTAAGACCATTTGGTATCAAACTTCCATGCCGCTCAAACAGGTCCGCACCGGTGTGGTTTGCATGTACGCAGGCTGACCTTCAGCTCTAAATCCCTAAATCTGTGTTCCACTCAAACCCCTTACCTACCGGGAAAGACTGCCTCAGTTTCAACAATTGTGGTTCTGCTGCAGGGCCCCCCCTGTCTTGTGGTGAGGAAGGTTTCTTAAGACGTCATCGACCGGTTGTGAGTTTGGGGGGCGTAGAGGTTGAGGCATGCAGGGTTTTGAAAACTTACCTTGTCAAGCACATCTGAATGAATAAGGGCAATTTATAGCTGTAGGGGTTCTACATCAGGTTTTACACCTCCGTTTGGGGTTTGGAGTATTCGAAGAACCTCACAGTGAGGAAGCAGAAGTCGAACAAATCACCGATATCAATCCCTAGGGTTCCTTATGATAGTTTCTACGTACTTTAATATGTACTTCACTATACTAATTACTATAATAGACCGCCCTGTTCCAATCAATATTGCTCCTATATTCCGAGACCACGGGCTCGCCCTCAAGTGCACGCCAAAGTCTGAACCCATGTAGCAAACTGAGATCACCGCGTCTGAGAACGTGAAATTCATGGTCATAATAGAACTATACCCCAAAACTCGATTCTGAGTATTCCGCTCCGCTATTGTGAATTATGGCCGTGGGTATTTGTTGGTCTTGGGAATTCTTCGCTTCAGCGAAGAATGGTGAATCAATGCTAGCCACCCTGTTCAGGGTTATCTAGAGGGTCTTTACATGTCGTTTTGTGGCCTTATGAAGTTCCCGTGTAAAGCCCGAAAGCTAGTTCCTTCCGCTTGTAATTCGCTTCGGCGTTTCCTTCTGCCAGGACTGCCACAGGTCCAAGTGACGCACAGCCAGCACTCGCACATGCGACGTTTCCACTGTGTGAATTGTTTCCCGACACCAACCTAAGAGCCTTCCACCCAGATCGTATCTAGTGACCCCGACAATAGAACACTAAATGCGAACCTTCGCCCAACCTCCAAAACAGTATACAAAAGATTCAAACCACTCCCCAGAATCCACCGACACCCCTTTAAAGGAACCCAAAAGAAACCCTTAGAGTAACCTTTATAACGGAACCCTTTACAGGGAAGCGTAGGACAGGTCCCAGGTTTGTGGCGCAATCCTCGGTTTCACCCGCCGGCCAGGGAATCCTTTGGCTGCATGGCTCGAACCTGGGCCTGGGTCAACCAACCAGAACTAAAGGGAACTCCAGGGGTTTAGGGGTTTAGGGGTTAGGGGTTTAGGGTTTAGGGGTTTAGTGGTTAAGGGGTTTAGGGTTTAGGGTTTAGGGTAGGATGCCCAGTAGTACCCTTATTCCCTTTTTGTAGTCCTAGGTTCCTGATAAAGCTACCCAATACCAAAAAGAGAGGCCTTTGTATTCTTAGGTTACTGGGTATCCTAGACCAACCAGAACTACATTCAAACTTACTTAAAGGATCATGGGACTTAGTAACTAGGGTTATAATTAGGGTAACTATACTGATAAACCCCAATTAAGGTACTTATCATTCAGCCAGGAAAGGTTAAAGGGAACTCCAGAAAGTTGGAATATGGCTGCAGGGTAGGATACCTTGTAATTTACCATAAAAGGGTTTAGGATAATCACATTCCAACTTTCTGGCTTTTACTTTACATTCAAACTTACAGTAAACTCCATAAAGTTGGGAACCGGAATAAGGCCAAATAGTCCTGGGATTCCCTAAACTACTCTTAAGGATTGAGGCTATTGGGTTTCCAAATTTTTGGCTTCTACTGTATATGGGTGGTTGTCACAATTAGGGTCCCTTTTTGGGTACCCTAGTAGAAGCCAGAAAGTTGGAATATTAGTATCCTCTTGCCGTCAAAGTAAAGCATAAGGGATCCTAGCACTAATCCTCCTAAACAGCCTCATTCCTTGAGAGTAATGTAGAGCGGATCTCAGCACGATTTGGCCTTAATCCGATTTCCAACTTTCAGGGGTTTACTGTAGGGGCTGGGTGGGTAACCTTTAACCTTCTGGGGCTTATACAATCCTACTACAAATCAACAGATCAACCTTTTTTGGGCTAGGGTGGGGGTTTAGGCTTCAGGGTTTAGGGTTTTAGGGTTTAAGGTTTAGGGTTTTAGGGTTTAGGGTTTTAGGCTTTAGGGTTTAAGGCTTTAGGGTTTGGGGTTTTCTGAATTTTTAAAAGGCCCCTAAATCCGAACTTTCCTGGACACCCCCAAGGACCCGGGTATTTAGGGTATACTAGAGGGTAGTTTGGGTGTCTAGGTTTAAAGGGATCTGTATCAAACGAACCCCTAGTCCTAAACCCCTAAATAAGGCACCCTTCGTCCTAATTTTCTGGGTCTTGGTTCCCCAAACCCTAAACCGAACCCCTAAACCCTAAACCCTAACCCGAAGAGTGCAAGCCCACATCGGGCAGGGAGTCGGCAGTGCGAAAGTCCCAATGCACCCTTAAAAAACACCCTAACCCGAAACCCTGAAACCCCTAAACCCTAACCCCGAATCGAACCCTCAACCCTAGAACCCCTAAAGCCCAAACCCCTAAACCCTGAAGCCCCTAAACCCTAGACCCCGAACCCCGAAGCCCCTGAGCTCACACACTTAAGGCCCAACAAGCCTTGAAAGGCTCAAGCCGCAGATCCCCCAGCTGGCAATCCTGTCCTGGGTTCTTGTGAAGGAATTCGATATATAGGTTACCATAAGAAGGAAACACTAGTATTTACTATAGCTCCCTATTATAGTACATGATAGCATGTTATAGTATGTTATAGCATTACTATAATATATTAAAGTACGTTATAGTATCATTATCGTACATTAAAGTATGTTATGGGTTTATTATGGTATATTAGAGTATGCTATAGAATTATCATAGTATATTATATTGGAGTACCTTAAGAATAAATCCCTTCACAAGAGCCCAGTGTCCGGAGCTAGACCTTATTGGCTCCGGGGGCACCGCCTTTTTGGAGGAGGGGGAGAGGGAAGCCTCTAGAGCCTTGCAGGGTTCAAGGGTCTAGGGTTTAAGGGTTCGGGGTTTAGGGTTTAAGGGTTTAGGGTTTAGGGTTTAAGGGTTTAGGAAGTTTAGGGTTTAGGGTTTAAGGGTTTAGGAAGTTTAGGGTTTAGGTTTTAGGGTCTTGGTAATTTCGGCTTGGGGTTTATAGCGTTTCGGGGTTTGGGTTGGGGCTTAGGCTTTCGGGTCTCGTGGCCGTAGCCAGGTGTGTAGGGTAGTTGAGGCTGTGCGGCTTGTGTCTTGTACTGTCTTGGCAGGTCCGGTCTGACGAGCATTTACGGCTGATAGGGTCTACTGTAGGGGCCTTACCTTAACCCCACGTAACATACCTTTTTAAGGACTTATATAAAGAAATCATATTAGGGAACCCTAAAAAGGTAGGTTCCTTAGGGTCCAGGTAATCATTCGAGTAGGGTTTTGGGGGGCTCTTTGCTCTGATGATATGTATAATCTAATCACCCCCGAACCCTATCCTAAGTATCTCAGGCCCCTATGTTACAGCTTGCAAGTTCAGCAATACGGTCTAGGAGAAAAGCCTCAGGTTGGGTTCTCGGATTTCAGTCTCTGGTGGAGAGGCTTCGTCGCGTATACATATACACACACATATATATATATATATATGCTATATATATACATATATATATATATTTATTTATTTATTTTTCAATTTTAAACTATACTACAGTATACTATGCTGTACTGTAAACAACACAAGATAGAAGTTCGACTACATGCTATGTGGCTGCGCTCTCCCCCGAATGCCGAAAGCAGTGGGGAGCCTGAGCACAGGGGGAAAAATGCGAAGACTGCGAAGGCAGCAGCCCAGGGCTTCTAGTGAGAAGGCAGAGTTTCCTTTAACTATAGTCTCCTTAGGAATTATGTTGTATTTTTGTTCATATAAAACCCAACAGAATATCGACAATAATATTTGTACTATGGTTCTAAGGGGGGTATAGTTAATCCCAAGCCTTTCCACCCCAGCCTCCCCCAAGCCCCAAGACTGCAAGAAAGGGCATGTTGAGGTGGTACCAGGAAGCCTGGAACGCGATGTTGCTGCTCTAGGTTGCCCAGCAGTTGTCCAGTTTCATGGCATCTTGTCCATAGGTCCTCTAGGTCCTTCTGCCGAAGCCCGCACTTGAGGGAGCACTTGGCCCCAGGTATT